ACAAATAAAGAAACGCGCTGCAAATGCTCACAACACAAACAAATGAAGAAACGCGCTGCAAATCAGAAACGCACTGCAAATGTTCACAACACAACCAAATAAAGAAACGCGCTGCAAAAACAGAAACGCGCTGCAAATAGGCACAGGCCACATCGGAAATGTTTAAGGGAACCGCAAAGTGGCGAACATGGATGCTCACAACACAAACAAAAATAGAAATGCGCTGCAAAAACAGAAACATGCTGCAAATGCTCACAACACAACCAAATAAAGAAACGCGCTGCAAATACTCAGAACACAAACAAATAAAGAAACGCGCTGCAAATACTCACAACACAAAAAAATAAAGAAACGCGCTGCAAAAACAGAAATGCGCTGCAAATGCTCAAAACACAAACAAATAAAGAAACGCGCTGCAAATGCTCACAACACAAACAAATGAAGAAACGCGCTGCAAATCAGAAACGCACTGCAAATGTTCACAACACAACCAAATAAAGAAACACGCTGCAAATGCTCACAACACAACCAAATAAAGAAATGCGCTGCAAATGCGCACAACACAACCAAATAAAGAAACACGCTGCAAAAACAGAAACGCATGGCAAATGCTCACAACACAACCAAATTAAAAAAAAGCACTGAAAATGCTCACAACACAAGCAAATAAAGAAACGCGCTGCAAATAGGCACAGACCACATCGGAAATGTTTAAGGGAACGCAAAGTGGCGAACATGGCTGGGACATATTTATCAATGTTTGCTCTGAAAGGTGAGATTTTTATTAATTTTAACATCCTGATCATACGATTCCTTTGCCTCCTCTTTTTTAAAATTTTATTATTAGCCTAAATAAGCTGACGAAATGCACAATTACTGTAACCGCGAAAGCATGCAAGCTGGCTAACTAACTTTACAACTTCCCTTACAAAAATTAACCATATGGTTTTACTATTAAAATTATTTAATTAATAAATACATTTATTGTGTAAAAAATAAATAAAAACAAAAAAAATGGTTACTATAGTTAAACCATCGTAACCACAAATTAACCATGGATTTACTACACTAACCATAGTTTAACCATGGTGTTTGTACAACCGTGTTTATACAAATGGTAATAACTAAAAAAAAAAAAAAGGTTAATTTTCATTTTGTTGGGGTAATTTTGGCATTGTTGGGGTCCTCCTGTTGTAGTCTGTATTTGCGTTTCTGTATTTGTTTGTGTTGTGAGCATTTGCGGCGTTTCTTTATTTGTTGTGTTGTGAGTATTTGTTTCTTTATTTGGTTGTGTTGTGAGTATTTGCAGCGCGTTTCTTTATTTGGTTGTGTTGTGAGCATTTGCGGCGCATTTATGTTTTTGCAGCGCATTCAGTTATTTGGTTGTGTTGTGAGCATTTGCAGTAGAGACCTGCACTTCTATGGGCTTACATTTCTGCCACAATTCTGCGCACTAAATATCATATTTTCTTTTTTCTTTGCGAAACGAACATTTTCTCTACAAACTCAGATCGCGCGTGTGCAAAATGCACTTTTGTGCGCTCAAAATATGAACTTTCGCGCGCAGAATTGTGGCAGAAATGTAAGCCCATAGTGTTGTGAGTATTTGCAGCGCGTTACTTTATTTGTTTGTGTTGTGAGCATTTGCAGCATGTTTTTGTATTTCATTGTGTTGCGAGTATTTTCAGCACATGTGCTGTCAAACTGATAAAGATATTTTCTTAATTTGTTGGTGCTTTTTCTATTTGCATGTGTTTTCTGAAGTTGCAGCGCATTGAGCTCTCTCGGCCACTGTAGCCACAACCGTTTTTACATCAGACTAATTTTGCAGGTACATTTTTTATAAATGCTATGCTGTCTTTTATGGCTATAAGTGCAACCCCCCTGCTCATAGATAATGTCTTTTGAGACAATTTCCAGCAAGTAAACCTGAAACCTTAAACCCCTCTCTTTATCTTTTTCTCTCAGATTTTCCTGCAGTTTCGGAACCACTATAACGTGAAACAAAACAACGCTACACAGCTGGTGGCAAAAGCTGCACGTGAAATCGAGAAACTTCTTGCCAGTCGTTCCAAAGCTCTAGAGGTAAGTAATGAGAATTATTACACATTATCATCTCATAATACAAAACATATAGCACCTTTAAGGGGTTTTGAGATATTTACACTGAATATACATGTGTGATTTGATGCAGCTTGGGTTATAACCATGCAAAACAATGAAATTTGCTTTATAATCATGCATATTTCCTGTTGAGGTGTATTCCATGTGTCTCAGAATAGCATACTTGAATAATACTTTTGCTGTTTCATCTGTATGCATAAAATACCCAGATGATCTACTACATTTGCAAAAATGAGCAGTGTACAACCATAATGTGCTACATGGAAACATGTGCACAGTGATATGTAATAAATACTATATTTATTATCAAAAAATAGTATATAGTGTAGATACAATGTAGTATGTACTAAGCTAGTGTTCCAAACATACTCATTGTTTTTCTCTTCTCCGTTCAAACCCTTCCAATATTTTATATTTTTAGTAAATTAGATCTTGCAGAAAGATCCAGCTTGGATCGACCTGCATTGATCCAGCTCTGATAAAACCGGGTCCAGAATGTTGGCAGGGCTGCTTGACGCTGAAAGTTAATTAGTTTGTCGATACACTCTGTCCTTTTGATTTTCTTTCTTGATAAACTGTATGCTGTGTGCCCTAAAAGCTACATTTCAAGAGCATTTTCCATTAATGTATGAATAGAAATCATTATATATCATTATGCAGGCTAATTTTCCAAGATAGTGGAGAAATATTGCATGTTGTGTGTGGTTTAACTCTTGCCCCTGAAGTGCAGGTGATGTATATGGCAGACTGTGTGGAGCTGCTTTTATTGGTCAGCATTAAACACATCACTGACAGCTCACCCTGATGACTAAATGAAAGTATTGACCTTTCACTCTCTCTCTCTTACAGTCTCTTTCCTTTTTTTCCTCTGCTGGCTCTCGTCTGTCATGTTTAATTGGTCTGAATTAAGTGCTCTTGTTTTAATGGATATGGAAGCACTGGTGTGCCTCATATGATGGAAATAACTGCTCTTAGGTCATTGGATCTGTAATAGCTGACTGTGGTGTGAGGACAGCTTGGCTCTTTGCTTCTCTGTCCATTTGTGTGTATGTGTTTTTGGCAGATTGTCTCTACCTTCAGTCACATTGCCCAAACTGGTTGCTGTCCTCATGTCACCCCATTTAAAGTAGTCTTTATCCAATGTTTTCCCTCTGCCGTCCACCAGCACAAACACAGGCTTGCTTGTGTTCTTTGCTCTCTTCATCACATTCAGAACAAAAAAGATTTCAGTGACTCATTGGAGTTTCTTGCGCATCCTGCCTATAATTAGAAGATTCACAAGTACATCAGGTTTGGCATCTCTAGTGAATCAAGAAGAAAATGCATTTAAATGCAGCTAATTCAATTTTGTCGTTAAGCACTGAAGCGTACTTGTTTACAATGTTTACTTTTATGATAGAGTATATTGATTTTATAGTTTTATTACAAGAACTGCAAAGCTGAATTTTCAACACAAGGAACATTTAATTCTAAGAATATTAATTTATTTCTAAGAATAGTAATTATTTTGATTGTCAAAAACATTTGTGCTGCCTTTTTGTGAAATTAATCCTATTCATCAGATAATCCTGAAAAAATGTATAATATAATAATATATAATAAATAAGGAGAGAAGTGGAAGAAGAAAAAACGTCGGCACACCATGGCTCCAAAAAAAAAAAAAAATTATTGACAGACTCACAGAAATAACATTTTGAGCACACAGGCTGTTCTTATAAAATATGTATTTTTTAAATTAATATTTTTGTAGAATATATTGATTTTATAGTTTTATTAAATAACTGTTTTAAAATGTAATTTATTCCTATGGTTTTTCAGCACAAAAAAAAAATTAATACTAAGAATACTAATTATTTTCATTGTCAAACACTTGTGCTGCCTTTTTGTGAAATATTGTGATTTATTTTTGTTTGTGGAAACAGTAATACATTTTTTCAGGTTTGTTTGATGAAACAGTTTGCTGAACCGTTGCATGCTGATTAGTGGCCTTGCATGCTAAAATAAATCAGACATGCATGCAACATAGTTTCTTTTTCTGTCTCTATAGCACAGCTGAAAGCTAAAGATATACAACCAATTATTTTTTTCAGACGGGACATGTAATCTTAGCAATTAATTTGCACACTTTTAGCAGGCATTTATACTTTTGTTAGTCCTACAGCTCAGGAACATTATTTATGGAGTCGCTCATATTCTTGAAGCTTTGGCCAAGGACAGTTGTAAGAGCAGATCTAGACATGTTTATCAGATAATCTCACCCATCTCTTGACAGTCAGCACACATGACTTTGTACAATCTTGATTTATTCCTGACATCTGTTTGCAAAATCCATTTTGCTTTATGTACAGTAAATAGTCAGTAAGTTATTGTGGCACCAGCTATCAGATTAACCTGCATCTTAAGTGGGCGGTGCTTGGTTGAATCACATTATCTTTAAACTCATCTACCAAGAAACATCTTATCAAAAGAAACTGCTTTTTCTCGAGAATTCTTATTCCATAGCAGGAAGCCAACTGTCACTCTGATGATAAGCATATCTTGCTGATTATGTAGTGCTGTTCACGTTCCTGTTGTTCTTTCCTGAGTGACCCCTCGGATGCAGGATGGCCACAGATCATGTCTTGTTCTAATCTATATCTGCTGGATGGGGCCTGACTGATCTGGAGGCCATACGTGACTGTGGACCGCTGTGGTTGGATTAGACTGATCAATTGATTGGCAGCTCAGTTAAGTTGATCAGTGGGAGTCTTTAATTTGGAGCCATCCATCAGCAGCTGTCTGTGCGGTCGATGGGAGTTAACGGAGGTTGCTTGACGTGCGGTCGGGATGCTGTGTTGTCTAACAGGAAACTGAAGGTGCTGCCTGCTGATGGAGACTGTGTTATCCTAAACGTCAATCAAATCATGTAAACAGCAAATATGTCTCAGTCATGCCTCTCTCTCTCTTGACTTTATTCCAATTACAGCAATTCAGTTTATAAACATGAACCTTTCCTTGTCAGTCTCTGTTTCTTCAAGCTCTCTCTCTCCAGCTGTTTTCTGGACATCACTTTTTTTTTTATCCTACTGACCTCCCTATACACCAATGAATTTCAACTAATTTAAAGAGTAGGCCTATGTAATATTATACAACATAAAATGGAGCTATCATCAAATGTGGGTATATTTTGACCTTACAATAGTTGTTTTGGACTGCATTTGTTAACCTCAAGCATTCAATCTTGTCTCCCAAGATATTATAAGAAAAAATATATTTTTTCCTTTTATTTTTTTTAAGAGTATATTGATTTTATAGTTTTATTAAAAAAGTTTTAAAATATAATTTATTTCTGTGATGGAAAAGTTGAAACATGTAATACTAAGAATGCTAATTTAATTGTTGAAAACACCTGCCATGTGTTGTGAAATATTGTGCTTTAAATATATGAATGCTTTTTTAAGAATGCTTAAAAATTTTTTATATATAAAATAAATAACGCAGAGAAGTACAGTAGAAGAAAAAAATAAAGTCAGCACACCATGGCTCCAAAACATAGTCATTTTTTACCTTACAATAGTCGTTTTGGACTTCATTTGTTGACCTCAAGCATTCAACCTGGTCACCCAAGGTATTATAAGAAAAAAAAAGTTTTTTTATGGGAAATATCAGTAAATGCAAATCAGCATCCCTGGTTTATTTATTTATTTGTTTGTTTATTTGTTTTCATTTATTTATGTTTTCATTTATTTAGTTATTTTAATTTCTGTAAATTCAAATCTATTTTATTTTGATGTTTATTTCTAGACAATAACAAAATCACACAAATTGTGGTTTTAAACTGTATTTAGACATGTCTCAAGTTTTGGTTACAAGATTACAAATATTGAAACCTTATTTAAAATATAATATAAACTAATATACACAGATAATAAACACCTAATAAAATATTTATTTTGTTCTCGTGAGGTTGACATTTTTTTAAAGTACCATCTTTCAATGCCCATTAAAATTAAAAAAAAAAAAAAAAATGGTGTAGTGTTTCCTTTGAAACAGTTTTTACTCCGGAATCGCTAGTAAATTTCATAAATTATTACAAACAAACTGCAAGTAACACAAAACATCCTCCAGTAATATTTGTTTTATTTACAACTTTAAAAAGTAATTTTTTACAGTGTATGAAATTAAGTTTAAAAATTAAATAAATACAATTTTAAGAGCTACCTAGCCTATTTTGTACCCAATTCATGAAAAGTGTCATATGCAGATGAAACTAAATGCAGTAACTAAAACCTAGTTAGTTTACCTCGTATAACCAAACTGAAATGGAAACTCCTAGTGACTCATAGGCAGGAACTACACACAGATAATGCACAGGAGAATAAATTTACACTGCTTTTCAGTGGAGTTTGATGTTATTGCTAAGATAAACCCACAAAACGTTACCAAGCATAAAAAAAACACAAGATTTGAGAATAATACTTTTCAGTTTGATCTTTTTTTTGATACTTTATACTTTATTACATAAAAATAGTGTATTTTACTCAACACCTCCTTTATGTCAGGAAAGTGTATGTGTCTTAAAGGGATGGTTCACCCAAAAATGAAAATTTGATGTTTATCTGCTTACCCCCAGGGCATCCAAGATGTAGGTGACTTTGTTTCTTCAGTAGAACACAAATGTCAATGTTCCATTTGAGAGATAGGTGGTGGTAACGCACTTATAAGTCTGCGATTCGCCGTAAAGCAAGAAGAAGAAGAAGACGTGTCACGCGCCGGCCGTTGGGAACGCGCTCAGGACAGTTCAGACATTGCGGTGAATCAGAGGTAAAAAACGATATAAATACTGTTCAGTTTCTTGTACAGACCGATCGTTTCGTGTCTTTACACATCAATGTATCGTCACGAGCCGCAGGGTTTAATTTGGTTTTGTTTGTGTATGTTTTTTTGACTCTCAAAGCCATGATTCCCATTCACTTACATTA